TTGTAGGAGGCATAACTACAAGAAATGGGATTAGATTCTGATAAAGGATATTTAGTCCGAGTGTGAAGATGAACAGCCTAATACACAACAGTGAGATCAATGCAATCGCAGAATAGACTCTCAGTGGAGATAATACAAGCCTATCTGAGAAGCATAAGCAACCAAAAATTCAGTAAAAAATACACTTTCATTAGACTTTGCATTGAAGCAATCTAAAATGACAGGGGACAGCCAGAAATTTTCCATTTACATATTTTTGTTTATGGAACAAATTTGTTTGGAATTTTGCTTGTCTTTTTTTTTTTTTTTAAATTTTTGGCTGATAATGTCTGCTTACTTTAAAATAAGGGGGTTTTTTGTTGCTCCCTTCCCCCCCCCCCCTAATCAGAGTACAGAAAAAGGAAAATGCAAAGTTTTTCAGTCTGGCAGCCTGTAGATATCAATGAAAAAAAATATTAAAAGAACGACATTTCCTCTGGGAAAAGATATAACCTATTCCAGCCAGCTGCAAAAAGAAGCATATCACTCCTTCTAGAATAAACCACATGTCAGCACATGTTCAAGAAGCTGTGAAGGAGGACCTGAATGTCTCTTTTTTTGTTTTGAAGCTTTGGCCTATGCTATTTCCCCTGGCAGTTTGGAGAAGCGGGTTGCCTGGATATTGCCTTCTTTTAGTGTTTTTCCACTACTTCTAGGAGCACAGCTGAAAAAAAAAATCTAACCATTGGACATTTTTTTTCACTCTTCTGCTTCACTTTTGTCTCAACCAGTTTGTCTCACTCACGTCCACTTTGTCTCACTCAGTTCTGTGCCAGTTAGTGCTCCAGGTTAGTCACACCCAAACGTTTCTCCATCTTTAGCTTTAAATAAAAATCCAACAGCAAAATGTCTGAGATGGTAATTAACTCTTTGCTAATGATCAGTTACCACAATGCCCACAGAAGGGGAATGGACACGATTTTCACCACTCTTCTGTGCAATGCATTTTATTGATCTATCAGCTGGATGCTTCTATGCCGCTTATTAAGTCCTTAATACTGGAAAAGCTGTGAATTTTGGGGTTTTCTAGGCAATGTTGTCCTGTCATGGCTCCTACTGACTTAGCATGGATGGGGCACTGGGGAACTGTTTGGAGACCCAGTTTGGAGAGCTGCAATCACACCCATCACTTCTGTTCCCATGGGGAGGACCGGAGGAGCTCCTCTTTCTGTCTGCCCCAGCAATCCTCTGTGGTGCTGGCCATGCAGAGAGCTCACAACCCAGACACTGCAGGCTGTACCACAGGGTGCTTCAAGGCTCCCAGAAATGGTCATCCAAGGGAGCTATGGATTTCAAGGTGATTTTTTCTTCATTGTTTTGTGAAGTTACTATCTGAAATACACAAGGAGTGCCTCCAAATCCTTACTTCCTAGTCCTTAGGGGCGGTTTGTAATAGAATATATTGATTTTGGCAGAGTTACCTCAAATGATACTCCTTTCTTACTTTTGCTTTCCCTTGGCACCATCTCCCTGCCCGCCCCCCCTTTTTTTTTTCTTCTACAACCCCCTCGTTAATTATAAAGGCAAAAGAGAGGAGAGGCAGCCATTTTGGAAACATTTTTCCATTTGAATTCTTCAGGGCTTTGCTTGCTGCAGCTCGTGGGCTTATCTGCCACATCACAGAGACCCTGTCAGTGTTTGACAGCAACTTTACAGCAGTTGCAAGGAAAACAAAGGACTTCAAATCACTGCGGCCTAGACTGCTTGTGCCCCAAAAGGGAGATTTCTAAGTTAAAAAAAAAAAAAAAAGTGCGTCAGAATTAAAATTGAGTGATCTTTTTTCTTGGTTAGGAAAAAACACTCTAGTGGTTTACATCAAACTGGGTGCTGCTTGTGTTTTTTGTTGGCAGCTTCTTATTTTCGGAAAAGAGTTCAATAAAACAAAGCTCTTCCTTAGAAAAATCCCAATTAAAAAGTTTCTTGAGCATCCTCTTGAAGCACATGAGTAATTGCCCTGATGTCAATATGGTTATGCACATGCTTCAGATTGGAATTAAGGACCCTGAAGAGCTGTCACCAAAGTAAAGCTAGTTAAAAAACATACAAAAGTTGCTGTGTTTCTGCCAGTTAAGGAAGCTGCCTGCTCTCAAGCTCTACAATAGCTATCTGTGCCATACCCATGGGCCTAGCTAGCTTCTGCCCTCATGCTTTTAGGGAACTTCTTGCTGCAGTAATGACATTGTCTACTGAGTAGAGGCAAGTCAGAGACTTCAAGAGGTATTCTGAAGGCTGACTGAAGCTGCACATGAAACCAGCCATAGTGGTACAAATACGCCATGCTGAGTTGAAAACAACTGACCTATCTTTAAGTAAGGGTAATTACTGAGGGCTTAGCCCTGTGCTGATTGCTGTTGCACAGCCCTGGTGGGAAGCTGGCTTGAGCCCATCATGACTGAAAGTTCTCTGCTTCTTGGGTGCTGATATGGATGTCTCCATATATGTCTGGGTATAGTTGCTCTCACCAAGTAGCCACTCTGGTCTAACCTGGCATGGTAGTCCCTGTGCTGAATTGATCCTTCCCTGTCACATGCTCCTCCAGTGTCCCTCTGAGGTAGCACACACTTGGCTAGTTCCTTTTGTTAGGTGCAAAACAATTCACAGAGAACTTTTTTTTCCTGGAGAACACTCTCCTGCTAAAATTCAGGTACTTCTTCAGCTCCTGCAAGGGGCTCACCAAGGTGCAAGTCTACAAGAGAATAAGGGTCTCTGAGCTGCATTTACTTCATTTTCATAGGTACTGTCTGTACCTCTAATACAGGCTCCTATAAACAAGAGGATGGAAGTGATCTGATGGTAACAACTGAACCAATTTTGCTGGACAACAGAGCATTAAAACCGAAGTATAAGCCAGGAAAGTTAAAGGACTTCCTATTTAAAGGTGACAGTTCAAGAATGTTCTCCTGCTTTGCAGAAGCAAATGAAAGAAAAAAAATGCTCTAAAAGAGAGAGATATGGAATTTTATTGCCATTTTACCAGCTGATTTATTTTTATATAATTTAATGGGGGAAAAAAACCAAACCCAAACAACCAATATTAATCCTGTTCCTGAGTAACCTTTTACTAGGAAACAAGCTGAGACCTCAACATCAGCCTGATCATGAAAAGGTAGAGCCAGAGCACTTCATATGATGCATGATAATGAAAACACCATAGACTTGTATCAGGAAACCTTTACCAACACAAGTGTCTACAGGCCTCCACTTTCTTACTTGACCATAAGAAAGAAGCATATCCCCAGTGATCACAGCTACACTACAATATGGAGCTATTGCTTGGTGCCAAACCAGGGATGTGCTTGTGTTCCTCCATCCCTTTGCAGGTGTCATTGGAAATCTCCTCAACAAAGACAGCTTCTGCTTTAAAAAATTGCATGCATGCATCTCCCACTCTCCTCCAGCAAAACCTGCAGTAAAAAGCCAGTGTGATGAAGCAAAAAGCATTTGGATATGGAAACATCTTGGTTTCAAGCTTCCAAGAGGCCTTGTCATAAACAAGGAAAAGAAAAGGTATTTGAAGAGGGAAAATGCACTGCCAGTTACCTTCATATAGTCACATAAAAAGGAGAGCCTAGACTATGGACGTTTTAACTTGCACATGCACCTAATATGGTTATTGAAAGGTTTCTTAATCTGTTTCATGTTTTCTTCAGTGCAGCACCTCTTTCAAAGACATTTTGGTCCCATTCCTTAATTCTCAGAGGAAAGGAAGCTGCTCTGAAGACTGGAACAATACATTTTTCAGAGATATTAGAGATAGCAGTGAAAAACTAGAACCCTTCATAGTTCTTTGAAAAGGCTGAAGATAGGGATTTCCTGCAAGTACCTTAGACGGTTCAAAAAATGCCTGAATCAAAATCACTGAATCTTAGACATTACAGCTATACTGGCCTAGAAGGGTCACCTAACCCATCTCTGTCACTAATTTGGGAGTGCAAGCTGCTTGTTGCACCTTGGGGCCACTCTGGCTGCTGGGTTTATTGGGAAATTTCTGGTGTTGAACAGTTTTAACAACAGGGAGACTTTCTGTCTCTGTAGCAAACACACGAGGTCTTGTATTTCTGTTTCTCAAAGAATTAACTTATTGGAAAATCTAGCCAGTGGTGGAAAATATTTCCGTTTTTGGAAATATCTCCATTTTTGTTGTTTGTGGTAGGCTGGGATTCCAATGAAACAAGCCACTCCTTCTGATATTTTTGACATTGGTACATGTATTAGAAGTTCCCTTGGAGCATCAAGCTGGGTCCTTTCCAACAACATAAAGTACATGAGTCTAAAAATGAGACCCTCATTCAGATTTGTCTAGGTCCTTACTTGAGCAAAGCTTCCTTGACTTTTGGTTGGGTTTTATCTACACACAGAAGTTAACAGTAACTGCACAAGAAGTGAGCATGTGTTCTTCTATTAATTTTGTGGGCTTGAGAAGAAAGAAATTGGGGGTTATTTAGTTGTTGGGGAGACATATTTACATAAAGTTATTGTGCTGGAATGAAATTGGATACAGACTATATTGCATGAAGAATGAAGAATGCTTTGAAACGTTTGCAACACAGAGCTATTGAGACAGACACTGTCCCAGTCCAGTCACCTGGGATTGAACTCCAGCCCAGTCCCATTTCTTAATTGCAGATTTTCTTCAGCCACCAGAAATGCTCTCTTTGGCTGAGCAAGGGGAATCAAGACGGCTGCTGGCTCTCCTCTAGTGACCAGGAAGACTTTGACCCTGGGGTGGGAAACTTGGCTCATCTCTCGTTAAGCATCCTTCCACCTCTTTTTCTAAAGAGACGCACACACAGACAGTTCCTGGTTTATGTGTGAGTGCGTATTTGTGCAGTGTGGCTCTAGCCAGAGGCCTAAGTGAAAAAGGCAGAAGCTAGAGAGTCACAGAGCTGAACATTTTTGAGGGTCTACAACACAAAGAGAGGCTACAACCACAGCTGACAACCTCTTCCCCATGCAGTTACCTGTGCTAGTGCTTTGTATCCAGTGGTTCCCATAACTCTTCAGTAGGGACGATTAGCATCCTTTGGCCTCTTCAGCTGGACCTTCAGCCTCTTCATGCCAATTTGGAAGCCATTCATAGCCTGGATGGCAGCTTGGGCACTGGCAGGATTGTCAAAACTCACAAAACCTGTCAAAACATGAGGCAAGGCAAGGAGTTTAATGTACCGAAGGGGGCCAAGGCACGTACATGCAACGACCACTGAGAATGAACATGGGGAAGGGGGTGAGGGTGGTGGGAGAGAGGGAGTGAGCAGGTAGGAGGGTGGCCAGGTGGGCAGGAGAGTGAGGAGAGGATGGTTGCCAATGGGGGACAAAGGATAGGAGGGGTTGTTACAGATCAGTGTCCCAGGACACAGTGCATGGGCTGAGTGCCAGTTTGGACACAAGACTGTGTGAAGCATGGGGACCCAAATGGTGGTGCCACAGTACTAGGACACACAAGATTTGGGTCTCCTCTGAGCTGGGTGTCAGCAAATGTGGTGCATGGTCTCAAGGCATTCTGTCTTGCTCTTTTTCCCTCCATCATGACTACAGCAAATATCTAGACCTTCCTGCACTCACCAGCATAACCTTGCCTTTGCCTTCCACTATTCATGATGAAGGCTACCTGATATACCTACTGTTACGTCCTTATTATGGCAATGTAAGTAAAATGTGAGTTTAATAAGTTCTTCATTATGGTATTCACTGGCATGAATAGTTTGATTGTTGGCCACTTAAGCTATATGAGAAGCTATTAACTGGCAATTTCTGCAGACTTTATGTTGACTCTGCAGTTGGGAAAGATGAACACTAGTGCTTTCTTCCCATGTTTTCCATAAGTAGTTTCCTACCTTGTCAGCAAATCATCCAATCAGCCATGGAGTGCATCCAGCAGTAGAAACACCTATAGTGGCTGAACACTGTATCTACAAGCCACCTAAAATGACAATCCTTGTCTCAATGGAAGACATGCTCTCTGGGGATCAGAAGGGCCAAGGTAGGTCAGAACCATGCAGCCTGCAATGCATCTAAAGCATTCAGCTTTTGGGAGGCTTCTGACATGGGTTTCTTTTTTTTTCTTCTTTTGTTTATGTTAGCTCCAGGAAAAGGTCTCATTTGCCCAGTCTGTCTGTGACTTTAGTTGGAGTGACCATAGGTCTGAGATGTTAGTGAGGCAAGGGGCCATCACATTGTATAAGAATTACCTCTGTTACCTTTGCCAGAAATGTCCCTGTGTGCCAACAACATTTCTGAGCACAAACCCTGAGCAAGACCAGCCTGGACCAGACTGTGCTCCAGACAAAGCCATCTGTTTCCCACCCCTGCAAAACTCTGGCAGCACAAATCAACCCTAGGAACCCAGTCTCTCTCAACAGACAGGTTGAAATGAAGAAACAGTTTGAGAGCCCCTCAAAAAGCGAATGCTGAGCACTTGCTGCCAGGTATGCACCTGCTCCTCTCAACAGCACGAGGCATGGCTTGCAGCCTTCGGCTGTACTGTGAATGCATCCAGCAGCACCTCCTCTCTGCTCTAGTTCCTCATCGAAAGCAAGTCTCAAAGATGACACAAGGTGGCTTGCATTTGAAAAAGACATGCATAAGTATAGACATATATGCAAGCACATCTTCTTACTCTTGCTTTAAAGCTGTACTCCCTGCCTTTATAACATAAGTTTATGTGAGAGGTCGTAAAAATCTATGGTCCTCAAAGTGAGATAACAGGTTTACTGAGTATGGCAGATGTGGTTTTAAGAGGGAAGCCCATGGAATAAATGGGCATCCTTCTTCATCCTCCCCTCTTGAAGCCAAGGCTCCAAGTAACTGTCTGTCCATGCAGTTTTCCTGCCAACCACCTGGATGAAGAAGTACTGACACTGCAGCTCTGGAGATGCGAGCAAAATTCTTGCTGAAGCCTCACAGCAGTCATCAATCTCTAAACAGAAAACTAGAAAGTTATGGTGAGTAATGAGCTTGGGTATTATTCAATGGCAATGGATCTGCTTTTGCAATCACTTTTAGCCCGTAAGTACGTGGTAATTTTCCTAGTTTCCATTTGACTAGTTGAATAATCTTTCAGTCAACAAGGTCTTATGATTTGATCTCAGCAAAGGAACAAACTAAACACCTCCTGATTTCACCTGAGTTGATTAAGTCTTTAAACACTGCTGGAAAGTTCCTTGGAAATGCTTTAGTTGAGCTTCAACTTCATCTTTGCAGTGTAGCTAGCTCACATCTTTGAATAAACAATGTAGTGAAAGACAGTTCTTTTTAAAATCACCTCTGGGTTGCTAATACTCCTGCCCAAGACCGGTAAACTAGATTTATAACAGTAGACTAAAACTGTGGCAGGGAAGTTGAGAGAAACTGGAACACAATCATGTAGAAAGGTCTTTAACATAGGTTTGTCTTGTCCTAACTTCAGACAAAGTCTGAGTATTAACACAGAACAGAGGCTGTTTTCAGTAGTTAGCTTGAATGTGGCCATGATGTTCTGGAAAGTAAGAGAATTTAATAGTTTGGGTGTGGGCGATTCTGTGCCAGCTGGTCCCAGTGCTAGAAGAAAGTGCCAGGTATGTTTACTTTACTAATATATACACAGCTACCAGATATCAAAGCTGAGCTGGCTGCAGCTGGATAATCGCTTGTGTCATGTCTGTAGAGAACCTAGCTTGCCTGTGAACTTTGATTTCTGCTCTTGTAACTGGTCCTGTTGCAATGTACCTCTTACTGACTAAATGTGCACATCTAGACTGTGTCTATATGCCCATCTCTTGGTGAGCAAATCACCTTGGGGTCCTAAAATAATCAGTGGAGGTCCAGCCAATATCGTCACAGTAGAGCGTAAGACCTGATTTCCCTCTTTTGTCAGGACACTCCTAGCTGTGCTCATCTAAATCAAGTCCCACTGACTGTGTAGCAGGGGCCAGTGCTGACTGCAGTGAAGGCAGGCACCTTGCTTAAATCGGGGTACCTCTACTGTGGCATCTACCTGGTTCCTTGGTTGGAGCTGACATCTCAAGTTAAGGTGTTGTTAACTGGCTAATGCCTCGGAGAGTCTCTCCCTAAAGTGATGTTAATTGCTGAATCAAGCTCCTGATTCATGCAAACCCCACCACAAATTCTGCCAAGTATGATGGAAGTCTGCTATTTGTCTACTTTTGCCAAGACTAGACTTTTATTTGGGTGACAAGCCCTACTGCTGAGATACTGATACGGTTGTACCTTTGGAAGAACCTTGCCTTTAGATAAGCTCACAAAGCTACACTAGTTTTTATCATGACTTTGTTTGTGAGATAAAATTCTAAGGCCATTTCCTCATTCTGTACAAAGCTGTAAATAATACAGCATTTTAACAAATGGGACTAATAACAGAGATCAGAGGTGCATTTGCTCACTATATTTCATTTAGACCAGATAATGAAGCTGAAAGTTGTACTCTGATGCTATTGGTATGAGTTGCCTACAGATTTGGACCAGTTTTGGAATGTTCATTTTTTCCTCCTCAATTGTCCTGATATCCACTGCTGTAACATGAACATCTGCACTGGCTAGCTGCTGAGGGTGGAGGGCATGGGGTGAGAGGGCTGGGCAGAGAGAAGGAGGGCAAATGCCAATAAATGTGCATTTTCCTTGTGAGCACATCCTAGGGACAGAGCAGCTAATTCCTCTAGTTTCATTTGACTGCTTTAGTTTCAGGGGGTTTGATACGCTCAGAAGTTGTTGATGCATTCAGCTCTCCTCCTACCTGTTATTTATGTGGAGCTGTATTTCATATTTTAGAGGGAATTTGGATGGACTCCAAAAAGAAGAAAAACTATGGCTTATCATGAGAGTTGAGATGTCACACTGATAAGGGATAGACAGATAGACAGACAAGCTGTGCTAACAATATTGTAGTCCTTTCTCTTTTCAATTCAAATACCTACTGGTAGATTATATGACTTTTTTGTTGTCATTCTGTGCACTATTGGCAGTTAACCATCTCTGTTCTTCATGTCAGTGTCGGCGGCGTTAGTGGTATTATGCCAGATTTGAACATGTATGACAAGTAACAGAATGTATGTACTGGGAAAATAGCTTAAATACTTGCTTTTTGAATGGCTTTAATGCTTGAGCCCATGACTACAGGGCTTAAGAAGTTATCTGTGTTTTGAACACCACCCCTGCATTGTCATCTACACTTTTGAAGGACAAAAGAGAAAAGGAGAGGTTAAAAAGCTTGAAGCTGTTTCTGTGCATCAGTTAATTAATAATCAAAGAAATATATGTTCTGGTCTGAAGATGGTTGGTAGGAGGACAGGATTTTGTGATAAATCTATTTTATGGAGGGATGTGTTTGGGTTTGTTTTTTTTTTTTCCCAGGGATTATGTAAAAAGCCTCTTCTAATAAATGATTTATCAAAGCAGCAAAGAATGAAGAAATCTGCTAGGGCTGCAGCTCAGGTCATCTAATCTTCCTGATTCTGCACAGCATCTTCCAGAAAGGTACTGATGTTGAAGTCCATGACTCCTCCTGACCTGCTCTTTTCCTGCGTGACTATGTAAATGATCAGCAGGGATAAATTGGGTTAGCATCTTGGAGGATGCTTTGTTTTCTCCTCATTTCTTCCACAGGAAGTCTTTGTAGTGGGGCACTCTGAGGGAGCTTTGTGCTCTACTCATGACACCCGTATGATCACCAAGGGCTTTATGTAACTGATATTACTCAAGGGCTGGTTTTGTTTTAGTCAGCTGAGACGATAAAGAAGGGAATTAGCAATCTATCTCAGAGTGTATCTGAAGACTTTTTTTGAACTGTAAACTTTTCCTTCACAATGAATAGTGTCTCTGCATGGCTATGAATTAGTTTGTGCACTAAATGCAGTCCTGAATGAGTACTTCATTAGGTTCCCATGGATCTCTAATTGGTCTTTCTAAGTTTTATGTTTCTTTTTGCATGCTGCAAGGAGAATTAGTGGTTAATGTGCAAAACAGCCTGTTGATGATCTGCTACCAGGTTGGAGTAACATGTTGCCTCTCTTCAGCAGAAGGTTTTCTCTGGATGGAGACCAGTGCTTGGTAGCTACATTGAGCATCCTCTAAATCAAAAGTCACATCTATGGCGAATGACAGGTCCAGATGCAACTTTTGATCCAGACTCCAAAA